CATAGTTTGCTTTTTAAAGTTGTGGGTAAAATAAATGACAAACCTTTCTATTTTTCTAAACTTTTGTTCCAAAAAATAAAATTAAAAGTAACAATATCCAATCATCTCTAAATTACTTCCACTGAAAACACCACCAAAGGATTTGTAATGTTTTCTTTAAATACTTTATTCTCATAATTTCTTCCTTGGTCCAGAAAATAATGGTTTAAAATAACTTGATTTGTATTTTATTTCTTTACTGCCTTTCTACACATGTATTTAGAAATGCTTATTTATGGGAAAGCTATTGCATACCTAGCTTTCATCATTTATGAAATCTACTTCCTTCACCTCAAACTGGCACGTCCTCTGTTTCCAGCAACACGAAAGACTTTTCAATAAGGAACATCTTTTGCTATTGACATGTTTAATATGTTTGAATGTGTTTTAAAATATACAACTGAGTTCCCAAGAAAGGGAACTTAGATGCCAGAAACAAGGAAAAGGTTGAAAGACAGACCTGGAAAAATGTGAGCTGCCCCCTGTGGCAGCTCTAAGTATAGCAAAATACCAGTGTTATTTAAGACACCAATATCCCTAAGGATATCTTCATCTGTAGTTATGGCACCCAGGGTAATCTTCCTAGAGTAGCAAGCACCTGGTTAATATGCAGTAGTCACACCTGATCAACGATTTCACTTTCTGCAGTTTTATTTATCCGTGGTTGACTGCAATCCAAAAATATTAAATGGAAAATTCCAGAAATAAATAATTCATATGTTTTAAATTGTGTACTGTTCTGAGTAATGTGATGAAATCTCGTGCTGTTCCACTGTGTCCCTAGTCATCCCTTTATCCAGCATCTCCTTGCTGCATATGCTACTGCCTGTCAGTCACTTAGTAACAGTCTCGGTTATCAGATCAGTTATCAGAGAGAGAGAGAAAGAAACCACACTCACATGACTGTTATTACAGTATATTGTTATCTTTGTTCTATTTTATTATTAGTTATTATTGTTAGTCTCTTACTCTGCCTAATTTATAAATTAAACTTTATCATAAGTATGTATGTATAGAAAAACACATAATTTACATAGGGTTCAGTACCAGCCACAGGCTCAGGCATCCACTAGGGGTCTTGGAACATATCCCCCACAGAAAAGGGGGGATTACTGTATTATACCTTCAAGTAAAGATGAAGTCATGACTGAGCATTTACTAATTGAAATATTCATTATGTTAGAATTAGGACATTTTATGTTTTAGAGCATTCATTTATGTAGATTAGATTGTCAAAGATGATTGTTTTAGAATAGAAAAGGAGTTAAAATACTGGGTCAAATCTTATAAAATTGCTGATATTTTATCACTTTTTAAGTTAAAAAAAAAATCAAATGAAAACATTAGGTCCAATAAGTTTGCTTTGCCCTACACAACTGACACCTCTCTTCAATGAGCTGAGAAGTCCTTCATTCACTTCTCAGTTACCGTTGTGTTTCTCTGTTTATCAAAGCATCTCCCATAGGAAGATGGCCTTCCACTCCCTCAAGTCCTCCCCTTGCCTCAGCCTAGGCACCAGTCATTTAGTTCTGTCCAGTTTCCTCTAGATGAACCTATTGTGTGTGGTGGGGGGAGGGGGGGATATCCAGTCCATGAGAGAAGTTGACAGTTGAACTTGAAGGAGAGCCAGGAAGGAACTTGGACCTCATTAGTGAAATTCAAGGCCAAGCCCATCACACCTTCCACATTTCCAAGGATATTAACCTCATGCTATATGATTCTGAGAGTCTCTAGAACTTTTTCCTCTTTCTACTTTGAGTAAGTTACATAAGTCCCCTTTCTGTTATCTAAGCTTGGTGAGTGCCAGGCCCCAGAAAGGAAGTTATGGAAGAGGGTAAAAATTTCTTCCATATTTATTTGTATGGAATCTTCACTTCTCAACTATATACCAGATGTAAAACAGTTTTCCTGCTCTAGTACCATCTGTCATCTCAGAGCTAGGCTTGATTCTCATGATATAAAAAAAAGAAATAAAATGACCTGGTTTTAAATCTTGTCACTGCTGTTACTGACGATGCTTAACTTCTTGACCTGCGGTTTTCTTGTCTATGAAGTGGAACTTAGGCCATGCCTAGCCATGTAAGTTCATTCTAAGGAACAACTAAAATAAAGTCTGTTCAGTATTTTGAAAGACCCAGGTACAAAAACATGGTCAGGGAAATTTACATAGAGAGCAGAGTTGGGACATGGTGGTGGTAGAAACAACAGAGGAGAAAACCAGACTGGGCCAAAGTAAAGGATTCCAGAAGTTCAAGTCCAAAAGGAATATATATTCAGGACACATAAAAGTTGCAAATATAGCCACCAATTTAAGAAAAATGACAACTACTTCCTTAGACAGGTCCACTGACCCAGCGGAAGTTCTGCAGATCCAACACTCCTACAGGTTCACATCTAGATTATCATCCCCTGTTGCACTGAGGATTGCAAGGTATTCTCTGTGGGCAGCCAGATGTCTCTCAGTACTTAGTGTATTCCTTCTACCCAATGAAGAGAAAAAGGAGATTCAAGCCTTTTAGGTGGAGACGCCTCATGCCAAGATCTTTAAGGAAACAAGCAGAGTTAAATGAAAAATTTCGGAGAGCAGAGATCTGTACCAAGGCAAGCTATCTTTCACAGGCTGTTTTTTATCCTGGGGCATCTGCCAGCTCTGAGTACAGTCTGAAGATCAGATCTGGTCCATGCAGAAGAACTGTAAGAGGGCAAAGATAAACCAAAAAAGTTTTTGGCATTCCTACAAGGGGCCACAATGATTTGGAAACCAAAGTATTTCTAAATGCTTGGTGGGTTTTTCGCATAGCACCTTTGCTGAATTCTGGGGCTGAACACAAGGTAGACTAAAATCTCTGGTAATCCCATAATAGCTGAGTGCCACTGGAGAAAAGGGGCCTGGCTCAGAAACACGGCTGGTTTCCTCAAGACATCCATGAAATTTAGAAGTAGTGTGCAGCAAGATGCTAAAGAACAGACCTCAGCTTTCACAGTCTCTCAGACATCACAATCAAAATTGCAGGGAAGACAGGCCTAAGGAGAAAAGGCAGAACTGGAGGCAGAGAGAGTCTTACTAAAATTCCTGTGGTTGGGATGATCGGCTCCGCACCGTATCTGCCTCACAGAGGACACACAGAGCCTTGTCTAGTAGAAATAACATCACGCAGAGTTCGGACAAGTGTTCTGTACATAATATCTGGCTACAATAACAAATTACTAATATGAAAATGTGGCTAATAAACCAAGTGAAACAAACAACATAAGCAGATACAACAAAAACGGATATTGTTGTTACCATCTAATACTTTGATACAATGATTAATATATTAAAGAAATTGAAAGAAAACATAGACAAAAGTGATGAAATAGTGTGGAATTTCATCAAAGAATTGAAATCCACACCAAAAATGTCAATCTAAGACTGAAAAATACAATATCTGAAATGAAGTCGTCTTTGGATGAGTTAAACAGCACAGCAAAAGATTAATGAAATGATCCCAAAGACAAATATTTGTATCAAATATTTGTTTAAAGCACAGAGCAGACAAAATAATACAAAACATATCAGTTACATGCAAATCTCAGTCTAAAACTCTACATCACTATTATTAGAGTTAACTGAAGAAGAATAAAGAAAAGTATGGCTGGATAAATATATGAAGAAAGCATAATTAAGAATTTTTCAAAGTTCTTAAAGAGAGCAACCCTCATATCCAAGAATCTCAGCTAAGCCTAAATAGCACTAATAAAAAGAAAACTGTAACTAGGAGCATCACCTTCAAACTGCTGAAAAGCAAAGATTTACCCTCATTCCAACAGGCTGAATGGTCACTGTGCCACAGCCCTTATTCTAAACTCAAGTGGAATGTGCTACAAATTATCTTTTTATATTGCTCATTTTGAAAGAAGACATTAACTTCCATAACTTCAAAACAACACCAAGTAAAAGATGAATAAATTGTATTTATTGTTTGAAGATTTTAGCTGCTTTTCAAAAGTAATAGAAACCATATGTTTTAAACTGTCCTATAATCAAGATAAATAAAACCAAGTTCAAGAAGAATCTCCATGCCTAACTAACATAAGTAAATTGGAACACTGAGAAAGTAATTCCAAAGAAAGAGAGTTCAGAATATGAAGTCTTAACTCTTATTTGAGGCATTTGCTTCAGGAAGCACAGATATATATTTTAGAAAACTTGGCTGAGGTTGTTGATATCAGAATAACAGAAAATCGGGCACAAATTGTGAGTGGCATACAAGAAGCACATACTATTTCATGAGGATGTAAAGTGTAGCATAGGAAATATAATCAATAATATTGTAATAATGATTTGTGGTGCCAGGTGGGTACTAGAAATATTGGAGGCAACATTTTGTAAAGTATATTATTGTCTAACCACTATGTTGTACACCTGAAACTAATACAAGATAATATTGAAAGTAAGCAGTAATTGAAAAATAAAATTAAAAAATGAAACTCCTTTTTCTTTCTATTTAGAGATAGACATTCATTCTAGCTCTGGGCTTCTGGATTTGGGCTGCAGCGATGCAGATCTTGGTAGAATCAGCTCAGTTCCCACTGCACCCATTTTCCAAGGACCAAGCCTGCCCTCCATTCTTCCCCCCTCCTCTCAGTAACTTCCAATCCTTCTCTGTCCCTTCCTCGGATTATGCCATCCCCTCCCTAACCACTAGCCTGGCTGTGAAATGGAATAGAGTCCCCTGACTTTTCTCATCCTTCTAGCTCACCCATCCATTTCCTCCTAAATTGCCTCAGCTAATCACTTTGGGAAACAGGGATAATTAAAGTTATAACCATGAAGGAATTTAGAACCTCATCATATTCTTGGAGCAGGGTTCTCTGGCACATTCGTCCCCTTGCATCTGAAACAATAACCGAGAGGCTCAGCTGGGAATTCTGGGCCCCACACCTTGATTAATTAAATCTTGTTGGTGTCATAAAGATACCTGGTGTCTCTGGGCTCCAAGTGATTAATTCACAACTCAGAGGGCCCCCAGAAGAGGTCTCTGCTCCAAGTCTACAAGCAATTTTCTCCAAAACATGGGAATCTGCGAGGTAAGTGATCCATCAGCACCCGGTACCTCTCATTCTCCTACCGCCTTGGAGGAAAAGGAAAACATAAAATTTGGAACAGAAAAGTTCTCAAAATCTAATAAGGTAACATTTTGTCCGAACCCCTCTGGATGGACCCATGTACCATCTATGTTAAGTAAACCTATACAAAAAAATTGGGGCATTTGTTAAGAAAGTCCTGACATTCCTAACTTTTAAACTAACCATAGATAGATCCCCCAATTCACCCAACTGAGTGATCTTTCCAAGTTAGACACAAAGGAGTTATTTCCCCCTCTTTCTTTATCCTCATTTGAAGAGTTCTTATTTATTTTCCTATATATTTTATAGAGTCACTCTCAGCCTCACTCATTTTTTTCTGTTGAATGTAAGTATTTGCTAGATGTGTCGTCACCCTTAAAATATCTTGCAGAAAGCTGACACCAGTTGACTTTTGAAAGAAAGATTTACTTTCTATACTGGTTTCTAATTTCATTTTAATGATTGTTCATTCCATTGTTCTAGGTTAATATTTATTTTTTATACCTTAAATAATTTTGCCACCACAAGGCAGAGTTGTTGGTTTTTGTTTGTTTGTTTTTAGCATTTCCTGCTTAACTCTTTATAAACACAGTGAAATAAGAAATAAAAAAAAAAAAGAAGGATTATTTCATACGTACCTTCCACTATTCTGTCTTTGATTCTTGGTATTTGGCATCAAATTCAAGTGCACAGAGCAGCATAGCAGTTAGCAACTTTCATCACTTTCCGTCATTTCCTCCCCGTTATCCGGTCTGCCTAATGAACACATCACTCTGACTGCTGGGAGATGTCAGTACTCAGAAAGGAAGTTTAAAATTATGTAACAAATGAGCTCAGTGACCTCCATTTCCTTGCCTATTTGGTAAATAATTTGTGGTTTCTGAGACTGGAAGCATATTTTAGAGTTCAAGCAAGCTTGGCAGTAACTTGTCCCAAGGCTCATAAAAATATGTGCACAGGGTTTGCAGACCCCAAATCAAATAGCTAAAGTGAAGTGAAACCAAAACAGAGCTGATACATGCACACTCGCAGCATTCCTGGGTCCTAAGGATGCAGACGCAGTGGTCTGTCTTCTCCTGTGTACCATAAACTCTGTCACAGTAAATAGTCCAGTGATTAGATAGGTTGTTTGAGTTGCCTTCTCTTTTTTGACTTTTAAAATATCTCTACACTCAGTTTTGACTGTTTTATGAAAGACATAGGTTATGGGTTGCAGGCTAGGAGCTGAGAATGTCTCAGGGCCTAGCAAGGCCACTGTCCATGCCTCTTGTTTTCCACATGTGCCAAGGAAGGGAAGGAAGGGAAGTCAGAGTTGATGGCTAAAGTTGAGAACAGATTTTTGTAATCATCGTTTTTTTCCCCCAATTATGAAGTTCATGAAGAAATGGGAACTGACAAAAACAAGTCAGACGCACAATAGTATACTTAATCAAGGTTCTTTCTTTCAATTTAGGGACTAAAATTATTATAGCTTCCTCTTATGGAATAAATTACTTGGCGGAATGCACATTCCTTGGCTCGGAGGCCAGGAATTTTGAAATGTTCATCAGCAGATCCTCTAGGTCAACCAGAAAACTGTTCGCTCAAAGTTTGGGTGAGCATGTAACCACAGATGTGGTCAATAACTGCAGTAGACAAACAGGGACATTTCAGAATAATGGCTGGCTGGTGTCAGAAATTGCATATCTAGAAGCCATCTCTTTCTTGACTTGGAACTTGAAGAATGACTGGGCACTTTTTTAAAGGTACACTGTGGCTCCTTTGCAGTTCAGCACAAGTCATTATAGACTCAGGGTGTCCTCGACACAGGGAGCCTTGAGTGGGTGGCAGAAAGGTGGAGCGGGAGAGTGGCGGGAAGTAATAACCATCAGGGTGCTTTATAATTACTGTTTGATCCAGCACATACTTTTTCAGAACCCAAAAAGTTGGCATGTCATGGCTCACTTAATCATCTAAATCCTTGTGGGGGTTTGACTTGTTCAGCCTGAAATTTAAATCACAGAAGAAAAAAAGGGGGAAAGGGTTGGTGAATGAGAGTCTCTTCCTTTGATTGCCTTAAAAAATAAAACACACCAAAATTAAAATCAAACACAATAAAAGATTATTGAAAATTAACCTATTAACATTGCCATTTCTCAAAAAAACATCCACTTGAAAGAAATTGAATAAGGGGAGCGGAGATCAAGTGTTCTTTTTCTATTCTCCTTTGATCTTTCCACTCTCCAACTTTACCTTAATAACGTGTCCAAAGACTGATTCAACCTCTCTTCCACTTTAATAAAAGGTTCATTAGTGGATTAGGAGAGATTTGAAACTGAGCCCAGTGGAGTCAGCAGAGACAAGTTCCAAACAGCTACTCAGCTTATTTTGAAAAGTACCAAGCTAGCAACCTGGAAAAGATCCACCCTTGTGTAAGAGAAGCCCCGCTGGACAGACAAACCATCTCCACTTTGTTCAAGAGTGGCAACATGGCCCTGGCCAGTATGGCTCAGCGGTTAGAGCATCGGCCTGAGGTCCGGAGAGACCCGGGTTCAGTTCCCGCAAAGGGCGCGTACTTCGGTTGCAGTTTGTCCCCGGCCCTGGTTGGTCGTGCGGGTGGCAGCCACTCGATGTGTCCCTTCACGTCGATGTTTCTCTCTCTCTCTCCTTCCTCTCTCTCCCTCCCACTCTATCTGTACAAAAAATGGAAAAATATCCTCCGGTGAGGATAAAAAAAAAAAAAAAAGAGTGGCAACATGACCCATTGACATTGTGGACAAAAAGGGGCCACACACTAAACCTGACAAGCTTGGGGGAGACCTGCACGGCAGGCTTACAAACTCAGAGACCTCAAGTAACCACATAGGAGAGTCTGAAATTAGAACTTCCTAACTAAAATCAAGTCACAGCAGGTAATCATGTCCTAGACTGGTCTCTTCCTTGACAAAGGTCAGTTTTTACCTTAACTGAACCTGTCTATGTTTTCTTTTTCTTTTTACATCTAAGATAACATACCTTTGGAATGTCTAAGTAATCTCCTTTTTCAGACCCCTCAGGGCACAATCTTCCACCAGAGAGCCCCTCGTTATTTTTATCATTTTAATTTTAATTACTATCCTATACCCACCTATGTAAAAAAAAAAAAAAAAAAAAGATGTGTGCATTTTTTTACTTTTTATTCATTCCTATAGATTCCTTACATCTTCCCCTTTGATTCTGGTGTATAAAATAAGTGGTAAAACTGCCATTTTCTGGAGCATTTTCTCAATCCATTGAGATTTTGCTTCCCAGCAATTGTCGTCAATGTGGCTCAAATAAACTCATAAAAATTCTTATAGGTTTGAACATTTCTTATGTTGACAACATTAACAAGGCAAAGATTATCGTGTTCAATATGAGTTTATTCCAACAAAGTAAACACAGGCTATCAGCATGAAAAATAATAATGAAAAAACTGACTGTCCAGCATATATTACTGTGATAAAAATAAGCAAATAAGTGCTGCCACCTGGGTCTCTGCTACTCAGGGATCCCACTGGTCCTTTTGAAATTCGCAAAGTCCATCTCAATAAAAGCATGTCCCATAGCTCCACCTGGTCTACCAAGCGATCAATCAGAGTTTGGAACTGAGGAATGAATTATTGACTTACTTTTCCCTCATTTTCATGTGCCTTCTCAAAATTATTTTGAAACTGATGACATCTGACAAAAATACTACAACTTCTACTAATAGTACTGAAAATAAGATTAATAATAGCTATTTAAGCACTTGTTATAGATTTTTAAAAATTTTTATGGCTATTAGTTCATTTAATATTCAAAACAGCTCTAAAACACTTAACAGACACTCTTGGTTGAAGAGTGTCTATTACCTACATCTATAATCCATGTTTCTTCCCAAATTCAAGCAAGGGTGACCATGAGATATAAATCAGGACCATGAAACATAACTAAAATTCTGCTGATTGGAAGTTTGAGGAAAGCTTTGATTTTCTGGTAAAAGGACACTCAGCTAAAATACCCCCAGTGTTCTTTCCCCTTCTTGCTATTTGGAAAGTGAAACCACACAGGGAGTGTTCCGAGACAAAGGACAGAAAGGATCTCATGTCTCTGGCACTACTGATCATCAACACCAGGTCCTTAGACTTTGTTCAAGCCACTATAAATCACAATTCTGTCACTTGCAGCCAAAGGTATTCCTAACAAGTACAGTTATTATTCCCATTTACAGATGAGAGATAATGAAGCACAAAAAAGTTAAGCAATTTGTCTAAGAACATCAGGTGCTAAATGAGAAAGCTTGGGTTTAAACCTCGGTTCTCTTTCTCCAGAGCCCCCCTTATTAACCATTATGCTCTGGACAAAACTTTGTTTAGAAATATGGTCTTTTTTTAAATCAAAATAAAACAGAAATATTTCCCTCCAGTTTTTAAAAAATTTAGCCATTATCATATCATTTTATTCCAACTCTACACAATTTATTCATCAGCTACAGATACCCAAAGACAACTCTGGATCATCTCATCTCAACTGGAATCTCTGTTGTCATTTCTCCCAGGGAAAACATCCATCCTGGATCTAGCCAATGTTTTCCTTTAATTCTTCACTTTTAAATTATTTTAATCTGTAGAACATGCCAATAAATCAGAAGTTTCTTCAATGTATTCTCTGTATAATATAGAAAGAAGGGGAGAAGGGAACAGAAGGAGGAAAGGGGAAGAAGGAGTGGAGGGGTGGGGGAGGGGGGAAAACAAAAGAAGGAATGAAAAGAAAGAAAGTATTGTTATTAACTAGGATTACCAGATTTGATCCATTATATTGTGGTTACTTTTTTGAAACTTTCTATTTGAAAATAATTTCAAAGTTACCAAAAGTTACAAAAATAAAAATGGTACAAAGATCACCCACTTAATCTTTAGAGATTCTGTTATTGTTAAAAGTACCTCATTTGGGAGAAAGTTATGGCAGTAACCCATGAGGAAAATGCCAAGAAAGAATTGTAGGACTTTTCCACAAAAGGCTCTTGGGAGAGGGTGCTTCACGTAGGCAGTGGTCACAAGGCTGAATGGCTACACACAGGGAGCTCAGGTCTTTATGGAAGGACACCTTAGATCATGGTCATGGGCTCGTGTTAAATTATAGCCAAAACCAACGTCTCTAAGATCTGCCTGTGTGTTTCCTTTTCTGGGCATGGTTGTTTGGGGATTCGTTTATGGACACACAGTGTTCCTGCTGCTGGCAGTTAACTAGGCACACCAAGATATGTATATTACCTCATGCAAAACAAAGTTTACTCCATATGCTTGTTATTTGCTACAGATGATAGAGAAAGAGATGATAGGTAGATAAATAGATAATATCATGATTATTTGTGCCCCCCTTAAAATTTATATATTGAAACCTTAATCCCAGTGAGATGCTATTTGGAGGTGGAATCTGTGGGAGGTAATTAGGACATGCTGTGGAGCCCTCATGAAGGGGATTAGTGCACTTATAAGAAGAGGCCAGAGAGAGATTTTTTTTTTTTTTTCTGAACATGGTTCTTTACCCTTGAATACTTCAGAGTGTACTTCCTAAGTAAAGGAATATTCTTTTATACAACCACTGTGTAGTTATCAACGTCACACATTCATATTGACACAATAAATTTTATCTAATCTGCTGATCATATTCTAATTTTGTCAGTTTACCTATTAATGTCATTTATAGCATTTTCTACCTCCAGTGCAAACTTATTGAGACTTCATTATAAGAGCTCTTTTTA